TTTCAGTCATTTATTTCGGCAATGCTGCTGAATGTAGACTACCACCTTTTGTAATCGTGGACTGAAAATGGTCTCCATTGAACTAGGCACAATTGCACTGATCAAGTATTATTAGATAGTATCAGATTTAAGTAATGTCTTTTCAAACTGAAACAACAAATTGAAAAAACTCAATTTTGGGATAGTTTATCATCACGCATCTGTCACAATGTTTTAAAACAGTATCAAGTAAATAACATTGTATTTGTGTGTTTAACATCTAACTCATTACTTTGTGAAGCTTCTAAGTTTTGTTTATTTTAAACCACTAAAATATTAATAAAAGAACCGTTTTAAAGTTGTGGAAAAAATCACTTATATTTGTAAAATCAACACACTTCCAAAAGGGCAATTTCAAAATCAAATTAAAAAAAATCCTGAAATAGATAATAGACAATTCTAGCATATATTTAATAAAAGGTTTTGCTAAGTGTGTAATTTTTTTTTTGCAATAAAAAACCTCTTACTTTTTTCCTAACATTGCAGGATTGATCTTCTGTTGATCTAAATCTCATTTCTAAAGAAATTAACCGTCATTTATTTAACAAGTGTCCATGCATTCGACCTTCAAAAATGAAGCGCAAAAAAAATTATCCACCTGAAAAAGGAATCTGAACTGAATCAAAAAAGTCTGACGTTATTATAATTGAAATGCCCTAAAAGTGCCGTAGCAACAAAAATAAAAAAATATTTGATATCACTTGTGCAACATCCTACAGTGATTACAAATATAAGCATAGCGGAACAGTTAAAAAGCAGCAGATATTCATAAATTATAAAACTTTAAAATGATAAAAAAATGAAGTCATTTTATCATTTTAAACTTTTTTTGATATTGAAGTCTCAAAAATGTAATATATCCGTACAAACTACTTGCCCATTCATCTTTACATCGAAATCAAAAAAAGTAGCAACTAAAATAAATAAAAAATTTTGTGATGTATTATAAAATACCTTTAAACAAACAAACTTTAAAAATTGTTCTATTATTTAAGTCTGGCAAAACCAGAATATATTATTAAATTGGTAGCTACAACTTAATTCAAAATTAAACAAAAATATTATGGGTCACATAAATCACATTAAAAATATCCTGAAACTATTTTGCAGCATTATATGAGCTGGCTAATTAACAATATGCCAATGTAGAGCATATTTAAACATGTCATATTTATCAGCAGCTTCTCAAATTCTAAGTTTTTTTTTAATCGTAGATAAAACTCCATTTTTTCTCATTTTGGTATTTCGAATATATATTCTTACTTTCGCTATCCCAAAACGCCCTACTGTCCTGATATGCCCCGCTCTACCTTACTTCAGTAATATGTAATAATATAGGTAATAAATTAGGTAATACTTTCATACTAATTTTATTTATTATTAACTTTATTATTAACGTTTATAATAACTTAAGTATTATATAATAAAGATTAAAAAGATTTTACTAATGCAGTGTTACGAAGTTAGAAGATATTAAATGGAAATCAATTGTAACTTGTTTAACGTTTTTTGACAGCAACGTAGTTTTTTTCAAACTTTTTTTAGAGCAAATTCTCTTCAAAAAGTTTTTTTTAAAAAAAAGGAAAATAAAGTTAGTTAACGTTTCGTCCTTTTAATGATAAACAGTAATTTCTTTTTTTATTTTTTTTTGTCATATCAAGTGTCATATTAAGGCTAACAAAAGGAAAAAAAAAAGTGTTTGTTGTTTGTTTTTTATTTAATAATAATAATAATAATAATAATAAAAATAAAAATAATAACAATAACAAGTCTCTTAATCAAAAGAAGCCATGCAAATTTCTTAAATTAAATTAATATTTTGCATTATGCTGAGAAAGTGTTTACTTTAAGCGTACTTAACTAAAATAAATATTTTTCATGCAGAGAGCAAGATAAAAAAATTTTTTTATATATAATTTATAAATGTATAAACTGGTAAATCAGTTTTTTATAAAAAGATGGTTTATTGATTGCACTTAATAACAGTTTTTTACTATTGTATTGAAACTTAATGATAATTAAAAAAATAGCAGAAAAAATATAGATAATAAAGAGCTCTATATTAGCTGTCTAAAACAGTTACTTTTTTTAGAATCAATTTTCCTAAAACTTAAAAAAGTGGACATTCAACTTATAATATTCTGACTTTATAGTCATGGTGTTTAAGACCATAATAGCCATTTGGCAGTTTTTAACTTTAAAAAAAACATCTATACCTTAAAACGGGAGGCTTTTAATAGACTATAGAAATATAACATGTTTGGGTTTTGAAAAAACCATCAGTTTAATTTAAAAGCAAAACAATTTGACATTATTTATAATTTGGTAAAACATTATTAAAAACATGTTTTTAAATGTCGCAACATTTTAGGTTTAGATTGACAGTTAACAATAAAAAAAAGTTGGATTAAAAAACATTATCTTGTTAACTTTAAAACTTTAACTAAATGAAGAAAAAATAAACCAGTGGATTGTTTTAGTTTTGAAAACCTTTACTTATTTTTAATGCGCATTTCTTTGTATTTCTACAAAATTGCATTTTTAAAGCCGTTTAATTAAGATGAATTTTAAAACTTGTTTTTTAAATAATATAGGAATTAGTTGAACTTTGGTTATTTTGTTTTTGAGTTAGCTCCTAATTTTTTAAAACTATGTCTGGAGTACAAAGTTATGAGTACTTGAAGTAGCCTAATACCAATGATTGCTTGCACCTACTTAAAAAGACTTTTGCATACATTAACATTAAACAACGTTTAAAAGTTAAAGACAAAATAAACCAAAGTGTGAAATAGATCTTTTAAGCGATAGTTTTTATGATACTGAAAAAATATAGTCGAGGTAGTCAAGTGGTCAGAATTTTTGTTAAAGTTATGTCAGTTTAGAAAAAGTAGTAATAAAAAAAAAAAAAAAAAATTTCAGTTTACTCTTATTAGACAATAGTTGAAATTTCACTATTTTTTGTAGCCATTACAACAAGTATTTCTTTCTAAATGTGGTATATAAAAAAAATAATCACTGCTACTCATAATTATAATTTTCTTTTTGAGCTTTATGAAGTTTTTAAAATTATCTTCTTGTCTAATTTTCTAGTTTTTGACTAATGGTTTGTTGTGTAAAAAATGTTGTTGTGACATTTATGTTCCAACGTATTAATTTTTGAAAGTTTTATCTGAGAACTTATTATCCTATTATTTCAGTAACTTGTGCGCTATCCTGATTACTGTAAATATATGACGACTCATCTGAAGAATGTTTTCTTTTAAATTTTATAACTTGTTACTTAATATTTTAAGTAAAGGCAATTACGTGGCAAAATATTCAAACTTTAAACAGTTATTTTCACAAACATTGGTGCATGTCCTAACAACATGAAGCCTGCCATGAAAATTAAAGTCTCTTTTCATTTTTAACTTCTAAAGGATCAGAATGTAAACTAAACAGTATCTAAGACATCAATGTTTGTTTATTTTACAGTAATAATAAAATGCAAACATTGATATCATATACAATGTTAACTGATTGTTTTTTTACAAACGTTATTGACTACCATCTCAACTGGCATTTGTTGGTTTAAAATTGGTTTAAATCACGTTTAGATGGCATTTACGTCGATCTAAACGTTTAGGAATCTATTCTAAATGTGTTCTGAATATTTAACTTGCGTTGAAAAGCAAAATCAAACAATTTCCGTACGGAACTAACTTAATTAAATTAGTTTCGCACAGAATGTGTTGGACATTTTGAATCTTTCATTATGATTAAAAATTAGAATTTCTTATGAATCATAAATTATGTATAAATGGGTTAGAAAAGATAAAAAAAATTTATTTTCAGTGTTATGTTGTGGCTAATGTAGCAGTTAAAAATTCCTGCATGTTCTTCGATAATATTGTATAAGCGAATAAAAGTAGTTTTAAGTACAGTAACAATGTATTTTGATAATTCTTTTTTTTTTTTAGTTATTGCTACTGAAATAGCAATTTCAAAAAAGTAGCAGTAGTTTCAAAAAAGTAGCAGTTTCAGCATTTTTTTAAACTATTCTTAATTTGTTTTTTCTGTTTGGTTTTTAACAACGCTATAGAACGTCCATAGTTAACTCTTAGCTTCCTAGTTTTTTTACTTTTACTAAAAGTAGAATAATTATGAAAAATAGTTACCACTTAAATTGCATAAATTTTCTCTAAAATTTTTGGAGAAAAATTATGCATTTTAAGTGTTAAGTGCATTTTACTATTTAAATAACAAAATAAATTTATTTTTGCTTGTTTATATTTAGACCTAACATCTATTTATTTATGATAATTGTTATATTGATCGAATAGCGATGTTATAATATTTATACATTTAGTGCAGTCAGTGCCTAGCAAACATGTCTGCGTTGAATCAACGTTGAAAACCGGTCGCAAAAGATGTTGCGGAAACGTTGACAAAGTAATCGATTTTGCAAAGTTATGTAACGTTGTTAAAGAGACGTTGACTAAACGTTGTAGCGTAACGTTGAAAAAACATTAGTAAAAGACGTTACAAAAATGTCACAACAAAACGTTGAAAAAACCTTACTTTAAAAGCGTTGAATAGGCGTCGCAAACGTTGAAAAAACGTTACTTGAAAAGCGTTACTTTAACGTTGTTAAAGCAGTTGATTTTGCAAGGATTTGTAACGCTGGTAAAAATTTGAGTCACGTTAAATTTGTTAACCTTTACTCGACGTCTTTGAGTCACGTTCAATTGACGTAAAACGTCAATTTCACGTGACTCAAAGACGTCGAGTAAAGGTTGAAATATAACGTTAAATCAACGCTCAAATGCGCTGGAGAAAATATCACAAAATATTATTATACGTGATTAAACTTGGCTATAATGTATATTGAATTTGCAAATAAAACAAAATTGTATGTTGAACTCTGCACTTGCAATATTTCGAAAGTCGATTTTTAATACAAATAGTAATAAACAATGAAA